AAGATCCACTTTAAAGTTCCATTTTATATACTTATAATTATTAATATATTTCAGAGGAATACATTACTTAATTCTAGTTTTTCAACAGAAAACGTTGTCTACAATAAATGAAAAAGTTTTGTGGCCAAGTATAGACAAGAATACAATTTGGAAATTGCAACGAAGTCTGGAGATGGGCTAGATAGCTCTTATTCTTCTAAGTGGAGTTACGTCAAATTATTACATTTTTTGGGCGATAAAGTTACAGCTAAAAAGTCAACTGGGAACCTTGACAAATTGTTTCAAGAAGCAACCACAACTAACCAACCAAAAGTCAGCTTGGTTGAAAATCTTTTTTCCAACTCAGCCTCAACTCCGTTGGCATCCAACTCAATCAAAGTCGAGACTGTACCACACATACCATTTAGTTTTTGTAACTCGACCTTAACGATGTCTGAAAACAAGTCACAGCAAGCAATCATTTCTTTACCAAACGATGACGCAGCTCACATGACGTTTTTCTCAACATTTTTACATTATTTGAACAAAATACCGGAAGATAAGCTTCTTATCTTTAGGAATCAGGTGACTGATCTCGTCATGCACTATGCTCTTCCTGACAGAATTGAAGGAAACGTTTCATCACCACGTGCACCAGAAAATCGTGCTCCTTCCAGACGAAAAAAAAAAGTTGACGATGATGGTAAGCTTCTCTTTTGATGTATTTTGTTCCTGCACATTTGCAGTGCAATTTATTTCATTTGTTCCAGACTGTCTTGTTGTTGACGTCAAACTTATACGCTCACAAGTTAATAAAACGACAGTTAAGACCGAATCTAATTGGAACATGGGAAATTCATCAAATCCCGTTTACAATCAAAACTACATCGATGGTAAATTTTGTTTCGTTGTCTTAATATTTACATGTTTCTTCTGCATTGGGTGGAGTGATACGATATTTAGTTGTTCGGTAACATTTTACTATGGCTTTAATTTATGTTTTTGTTTCAGTAAAACCTCAAATACCGATTCAGCCAAGGGTTGCGTCAAACCCGTTCCACGCCACTCCACCGGGACCCTCACCTGGTGGTACACAAATAGAATTGCCAAACCACCAGTCTAATTTTCAGCGTATTGAGCAAAATAAGATTCCACAATACAATCCACAGCTGTACCAACAAAATCAAAACGTGCCGGTGTACTCTGCTCAAACTACTCAAACTCACACTCGGCCACCTGGTCAATATTCTGATCAGATAGTACCTACTTATCGAACAGGTGATACAAGAGTGTCATCCGACTCACAAACAGAAAGCATGAGTAATCGTCCCAACGGGAATATTATTCAACAAGATGTTAACTGTGCGGCTCAACCAAGTTTTGGATCTTCTTTGAGAGTTGTACCACCATCACAACTGTTAAACAATTCTGCTACAGTTAATATCCCCACAACTCCTTGCAAAAACAGTTCTATGGATACGATTCTGCCTGAACAGTCGAGATCTCAAGATCAATCCTTGATTCCGATACAAAGTTTATCTACAAGGAACGAGTCCCTTGAAGACGCAAATGCAAGCGTACTGAAAGATTCTTCTCCATCCATACAAACTTTCGGAGGAACAGACATAAAAAATTTATAAAAAGTACCTTATTTCTCACTATTTTAACGTTTTTATAATTCTTCATGACTTAAAACTTTGATGTGCAATTTGGATTTAGATTTAAAAAAATTGTTAAACATAATAATAACGTCAAACGACCTAAGTCATTTTTTACTATCGTAAGTTTTGTTTTTATAAAGTTCCTTGAAATTTCTTAAGCGTTGCGTTTTTGAAGAAAATCTTGAAAAACTTTGCTCGTTTTACAATTGTTTTCTTTTCATAACTTTGCATTAGAACTGAGTTTTGTAGAAGGGCAACTACAGATACGTTTTTTTAGTTATGAGAACTACTTTAAAAGTGCTACTTTTTGTATGAACTACTTTGTCATTTNCATATAAATATATTATGTATTTGTACATTATTCTTGTACGTGTATGCGCCATTCCACAAAATATGGCGTATTGTAAAAGCTAGAATGTACAAACGCTTAAAATAGACATTTTTTGTTATTTTCTTTTCATTGGCAAGGTTTTGGTTTTAAAGCTGAGAGATTGGTTTTTATCGTTCAGAGAAATCGGAAAAAATTATTTATTTGTATTTAAAACTTTAGGAATACTTTTTAGTGATCTCAATTTTGTCATACCTTGAGCATAGAATGACTTTGATTATACATAGTATATTATCAGATCTTGTTTCACGATGTTGTAATTGACAGGAACACGAAATAGACTATTTTCGGTGGAATGACCCATAGAAACATATATTTATCGTGCATGTACAGAGTTAATTAATAAAAAAATGTATTGCTGATTCACAAGTACTGAGGTTTGTCTTTATTTTATCCAACCAGTCAATTTAAAATTAGATAGAACTAACATTTTTGAATTGTAGCATGGACAATCATGTAATAAAGTTTAAAAGTAGTTTCTAAAATTCAGTTTAAGACGTTTCTGCTGTTGCTAAACATTCTGGGCATAAGAAATGTGCAATGATAAACAAAGGTACAATGAAGATGTTACAAATAAGTCACAGTAAGCTCCAGTAAACACAGTCCTTGACCAAAAAAGGCTAAAACGAGGGCAAATCACTCTAGTCATTATCTTCCAATGACCCGGGCGCTTACTGGCCACTCTATGAACTGATAAAATATTTATTGATATCACGAGCGCCTAACACCCAATGAACCGGGGCGCTTACTGGCCACTTTATTAAATAATATAATGTTAATATTTTAATAGTTAATAGGTAAACGCCCCGGGTCATTGGGTGATAGGCGCTTGTGTTTTTAAATAATATTTTACAATATTACAATGTGGGCAGTATGAGCCAGTAATGGGGCAGCGTTGCAACAACTTTTTATTAAAAACGTATGCAGTCATGATTGAAGAATGTTTTTATTAATCAAAAGCTATACATTAAGGGATTAAAAAATATTAAGTAGGTTACAATCATTGTACTCGTACATAAAAGTATACTTATTAAAATTGGATTAAGTTAAATTCTTTAAAAAAGTTTGGTAGCAAAAAGCAGCGATACTTTACCATGATTTTTTTTATCAATACAAAATTTTTTACAAATGTTACGTACAAATTTATAATAGTAATGCAGGGCTTAAGTTCTACTTTAATTTACATAGCTGATATTTTTATAATAATTGCACAAATCAACGAAATATTTAACATTACAATAGATATGCTAATATTAATAAATATTTTTATCATTTTATTAAACTCTCCTCTTTCATTAAGAAAATCGTACCGTAGTATTAACTTAACAGTAACAAGTATAGACAGTCTTATTTCGAAGCTATAAGGAATAAAGATTGGAACACGCAAAAACCGTTCATAACATTAAATGAGTTGTATCATTTGTATTTCGGAAGTACTAAATTAACTTATGACAAACACATAAAATCTTATTTTCTTGTATTGAATTTGTCAATAAATAGAATGATTTTTTTTGTTTTTTTTATAGTCGAATAGGTAAAGCACAAAGAAGTGTTCGAGGAACTTATTTTTTTTATGGGTTATTGGGTGGGTAACACAGAAATTTTTCATGGATTCGTGTAATGATCTGAATACATATAGAAATAGTTTTGTTCAATCAAAGCGTAAGATTTTATTCTTATTTAAAAGTAGTGAAATAGGGTAGTTTTCCTCTCATAATTATAATTTTTTTTTAACGTGTGAAGTTTTTGAATTTTGTAATGAAAATTTCTCATAGTCCGTAATATTATAGTTCTAAGCAAGATCTGAAGCCTCAAGCCAGTTAGTTACATTATTAAAAATAACTTTTCTAAGCGATAATCAATTAAAAAAATTATATGACTGTTCTAATCATCAAATTTTGGTTGACGAATACTTAAAATAGGTTGTATTAAGAACAATTACATGTTGCATAACAAAAATATCAGCTGGAATATCAGGTTTCGTTACTAGTGCGCATCTTCTCTAGGGTGATCACTAAGGCCCAAGGTTATTTGCAAAGTAATGCTGGGGGATCCTTGGGATCACCCTGGCCGGATGCGTATAAGTAGCGGGCGTTACTTTTATCCGAACTTTTATCTACCGAAGGTGCAGTGAACGTCCAAATTTGATAAAAAAGAGCCCACCTAAGCACTTTAAACCTTTGGGCCGATCTTGTTCACTCTGGGCGCAGCAGAGAATGAATTGAATTTATTTTCAAGGAGCTAAGAGCTTGTAGCTCTTAGTAGTTCGGCTATATACAGTTTGATACAATCACTAATTGATAAAATTAAATACATATTAATTCAGGAACAAAGTTTTGCCTGTTTTTGTTAAACAAAGCGAGGCACAAAGTGATACATCGGGCTCAAATATTTCCAGAGGTAAGAAATTGCACAAGAAAAATATGGAAAAATAATATACGTGACTTGGGTACAAACGTACAACCCCGTCCTTAAGTTTGTACTTGGCGTCTTAGTAACAAAATATATTATTAGGGAATTCAATACAAAAATTAAATTAGTAAAGTTTGTTGACGAAATNTACATGCACGAAAAATATATATTTTTATCGGTCATTCCACCGAAAATAATCTATTTCGTGTTCCTGTCGATTACAAAATCGTGAAACAAGATCTGATAATATACTATATATAATCAAAGTCATTTTATGCTCAAGGTATGACTAAATTGAGATCACTAAAAAGTATTACTGAAGTTTTAAATACAAATAAATAATTTTTTCCGATTTTTCTGAACGGAAAAAACCAATCTCTCAGCTTTAAAACAAAAACCTTGCTAATGAAAAGAAAACAACAAAAAATGTCTATTTTAAGCGTTTGTACATTCTAGCTTTTACAATACGCCATATTTTGTGGAATGGCGCATACACGTACAAGAATAATGTACAAATACATAAAATATTTATATGACTGCGTACATAACCTAACATTTACTTAACATGTAGCCAAATAATTTTTTAAATTTTCGCGCACTTTAGCTGCAGATCCTAGAACAGATTCATTTTCTGTAGTACTAGTATGAACAAACCCATGATTACCCGATGATAATTCATTCAAAAAATTTTCTTTTTCTACATCCATTACAATGTTGTGTAGTAAGCAAGTGCACTTGACGATCAGAGATGCAACATCTGGCGATTGCTGAATAGTAGTATAAAATATTCACCACTTTTGGCACGTATGTCCAAAAGCATTATCTACAACTACTCGAGCTCGTGACAGTCTTTTGTTAAACAAAATTTGTTCTCTAGACAAGTTTTGATCAGGATATGGCTTCATCACGTTTGGCATTAAAGCGTAAGCACCATCGCTGACAAAAAAAAGGGTGACATTATATTTGAATTAGGAAGAGGACTTTCAGGGGGGATTTTTAATTTTCCTTGAACAAGAGCTCTGTACAAATTCGATGCTCTAAATGTGCCAGGGTCACTTTGATGGTCGTAATTACCAACATCAATGAAAATGTATTTGTATTTAGCATCTTCAACGGCCTGCAGAACAATTGAAAAAAATTTCTTATAATTATAGTATAATGACGCTGAGTGAGCAGATTTTTTTATTCTCACGTGTCGACCATCAAGAGCTCCCAAGCAATGAGGAAATTGCCACTTCTCAAAAAACTGCTGGGAAATTTCCAAAAACTTATGCACATCGGGGATAGGCATGTGCACATGTTCCAAAACAATCCAGATAACGTTCATGCATTCGTTGACGATTTGACTGACAGTTGTCGCTCCCATGCGAAAAGAGAAGGCTAAATTACTGTACGACGATCCAGTTGCAAGAAATCTAAAACACATTTTATTGACAGTATAAACTAAAAACACTATGTATGTGCATGTGTTACTTCGTATTATAGACACATAGGATTTTTTTGCAATGATGGATGGATACTCTAAGACTTTATTATTGCTTCCAGGTATGTGTCAGTAATGTGATATATGCATTGTACATGCGTATAAGTTACTAGAAATTATATCACAAATTATTAAAAATCTAAAAAAAAATCTATTTTCTTACATTGCATAAAAATTTTTCTTACATAATTGCACATACACTTCGTACACAAAAATGCATCGTACGAAAAGAAGTTTTTCAGCCCAAAATATGTGACTACAAAAATTACTCAAATCTTGAAGATTCTTATCAATTCAGTGTTTCTATGCTGAAAAATTCGTTTTTTCACTAATCATATTAAGAACTATAAAACTTTTCTTTTTTATTTATAAATTAGCAAAAAATCTGTCTGTAAATAAATATAAATTACGTAGTAGTATTGCTTTTTAGTTTCGATACTGACCTCAGCGTTAAAACTAGTCTTTCCTCTGGGAGAATCGGTTGAGAGATTAAATTGCACCAATTTTTAGTCAAGTGACTTTCCGTTTTCGATAGTATGNGATACTTCACCATGATTTTTTTTATCAATACAAAATTTTTTACAAATGTTACGTACAAATTTATAATAGTAATGCAGGGCTTAAGTTCTACTTTAATTTACATAGCTGATATTTTTATAATAATTGCACAAATCAACGAAATATTTAACATTACAATAGATATGCTAATATTAATAAATATTTTTATCATTTTATTAAACTCTCCTCTTTCATTAAGAAAATCGTACCGTAGTATTAACTTAACAGTAACAAGTATAGACAGTCTTATTTCGAAGCTATAAGGAATAAAGATTGGAACACGCAAAAACCGTTCATAACATTAAATGAGTTGTATCATTTGTATTTCGGAAGTACTAAATTAACTTATGACAAACACATAAAATCTTATTTTCTTGTATTGAATTTGTCAATAAATAGAATGATTTTTTTTGTTTTTTTTATAGTCGAATAGGTAAAGCACAAAGAAGTGTTCGAGGAACTTATTTTTTTTATGGGTTATTGGGTGGGTAACACAGAAATTTTTCATGGATTCGTGTAATGATCTGAATACATATAGAAATAGTTTTGTTCAATCAAAGCGTAAGATTTTATTCTTATTTAAAAGTAGTGAAATAGGGTAGTTTTCCTCTCATAATTATAATTTTTTTTTAACGTGTGAAGTTTTTGAATTTTGTAATGAAAATTTCTCATAGTCCGTAATATTATAGTTCTAAGCAAGATCTGAAGCCTCAAGCCAGTTAGTTACATTATTAAAAATAACTTTTCTAAGCGATAATCAATTAAAAAAATTATATGACTGTTCTAATCATCAAATTTTGGTTGACGAATACTTAAAATAGGTTGTATTAAGAACAATTACATGTTGCATAACAAAAATATCAGCTGGAATATCAGGTTTCGTTACTAGTGCGCATCTTCTCTAGGGTGATCACTAAGGCCCAAGGTTATTTGCAAAGTAATGCTGGGGGATCCTTGGGATCACCCTGGCCGGATGCGTATAAGTAGCGGGCGTTACTTTTATCCGAACTTTTATCTACCGAAGGTGCAGTGAACGTCCAAATTTGATAAAAAAGAGCCCACCTAAGCACTTTAAACCTTTGGGCCGATCTTGTTCACTCTGGGCGCAGCAGAGAATGAATTGAATTTATTTTCAAGGAGCTAAGAGCTTGTAGCTCTTAGTAGTTCGGCTATATACCTATCGATGAAGGTCTTTTTTGGTTATTCAAAAACTTTATTTTTGCAATGCTATATTTCTAAAAAGCGCTAAATTTTTTTATTTTTACAATAAATGCTTATGTATTTTTAGTTTTTATTTTTATTGATGAAAACAGTTAAAAATTCGAGACAATAATGGAAAACGGAAAAAAAACTTATCCATCGGTGACTTTCTTTTGTATAATTACGCGTGATTTTGGACCTTGCAAAAATCTCGAGTGGTTCCCGTAAGCTGAAAAACAAAAACTTGATCCTGTATAAGTGATCCCTTACTGTCTTTCTCCTCACACCAATAACCCACCAACTAAAAATATAAATTATTTTTTCCACACTAAGTGTATTTAAAAATGTCTGATATTGAAATAATGTATGAAAAACAAAAACTTGATCCTGTATACGTGATCCCTTACTGTCTTTCTCCTCACACCAACAACCCACCAACTAAAAATATAAATTATTTTTTCCACAATAAGTGTATTTAAAAATGTCTAATATTGAAATAATGTATGTATGAGTATATTATGAGTATATTTTTTTTAATAGTACTAGAGTTTTTTTTTTAATTAATGAAATGAGTCAAATTCATTTATTTTTACGCCTCGTAGTCTACTACAGAAACAATAACACAATCATTATTAATCAACATGACACAAAATTTAAGTATTACAATACTTAAACTTAATTATTCAAAAAAAATAAGCAACAAAAAACTAAACAACTACAGATTTTTCAGCAAAGTGGTCATCATTTACGTCTATCAATGTTCTCCGGTACTCTCATTAATAGTGTATAGAGGACTCTAGGAGTACTGAGAGGACTGATGAGAGAACCGATGAGAGTACTTGAGTTGGGAAAATTTTAACAAGTATGTGAGAACCAAGAGAACTGAGAGTAATTATATGAGGACTCTGGAGGACTGAGAATACTAGTGTGAGGATAGTCTCTTAAACGAATAAGCAACAGCGATAAGAAACCCAATCGTTTATCAGTGGATATATTAATAATATCTGGTTTCAGCCGAGTAAGCATGGGCCATTCAATATCTAACAGTTTTCAATGAATTCATGAATAGAATAATCTTTTAGGCGAGTGAAGATCGACGATTAGAAACCCAATAGCTTTCCAGGGAATTTATTATTAAAATAATCTCTGTGATGAGTAAGCATGGGTGATAAGAAAATCAATAATTTTTAATCATACTTAGATGCTCTTAAAGTAGTCGTACCAATTTTTAAATTTTGTTCCCGGAACACTTTCTGAACGTCAGCGTTATTTTATTGAGATAGTCATTAACACGTTAAACTATTTCAAAATAAATATTAATTATTTAAATTAATCTGAAATAGAC